TTGGGTTTACTGGTAGTCGATTAGCTGATAAAGGCTATAAAATTTGATTGATTGATCACCCCGAGAACACCATCCCCACAGTGAAGCATGGTGGTGCAGCATCATGTTGTGGGGATGTTTTTCATTGGCAGGGACTGGGAAACTGGTCAGAATTAAAGGAATGATGGATGGCGCTAAATACAGGGAAATTCTTGAGGGAAATCTGTTTCAGTCTTCCAGAGATTTGAGACTGGGACGGAGGTTCACCTTCCAGCAGGACAATGACCCTAAGCATACTGCTAAAGCAACACTCAAATGGTTTAAGGGGAAACAATTAAACGTCTTGCGGAACCATTTCAACTTGAAGGAGCTGGAGCAGTTTTGCCTTGAAGAATGGACAAAAATCCCAGTGGCTAGATGTGCCAAGCTTATAGAGACATACCCCAAGAGACTTGCAGCTGTAATTGCTGCAGAAGGTGGCTCTACAAAGTATTGACTTTGGTGGCGGGGGTGAACAGTTATGCATGCTCAATTTTTCTGTTTTTTAGTCTCGTTTGTTGTTTGTTTCACAATAAAAATATTTTGCATCTTCAAAGTGGTAGGCATGTTGTGTAAATCAAATGATACCAACCCCCCAGAAATCCATTTTAATTCCAGGTTGTAAGGCAACAATATAGGAACAATGCCAAGGGGGGTGAATACTTTCGCAAGCCACTGTACCTCCTGTATTGCGCTCCATTCTTGTGTATTTTATTTTATTTCCCGTGTTACTATTTATTTTTTTATTTTGTATGGATAACCTTTTATCAGACAGTGATGTAACGGAACAAAAAAAAAGGAAGTCTTGCTAAAATGATCTAAAAATGGTTTTGGATTGTGACAGCATTGCTGTTGACGTCAATGAAGATGTAGACTTTTTTGGGGGCATTTACTGTACACCCCATCCTCATGAAAGAACTACACTGAGTATACAAAACATTAAGAACACCTGCTCTTTCCATGACATACTGTAGACTGACAAGGTGAATCCAGGTGAAAGCTATGATCCCTTATTGATGTCACTTGTTAAATCCACTTCAATCAGTGTAGATAAAGGGGAGGAGACAGGTTAAAGAAGGATTTTTAAGCCTTGAGACAATTGAGACATGGATTGTGTCTGTGTGCCAGTCAGAGGGTGAATGGGCAAGACAAAACATTTAAGTGCCTTTGAACAGGGTATGGTAGTAGGTGCCAGGCGCACCGTTCTGTGTCAAGAACTGCAACGCTGCTGGGTTTTTCACACTCAACAGTTTCCCGTGTGTATCAAGAATGGTCCAACTGTGGGAAGCATTGGAGTCAACATGGGCCAGCATCCCCGTGGAAAGCTTTCGACACCTTGTAGGGTCCATGCCCCGACGAATTGAGGCTGTTCTGAGGGCCAGAAGGGGTGCAACTCAATATTTAGGAAGGTGTTCCTAATGTTTGGTAAACTCTGTAAACTAACAATATACTGTTTAGGTCCTACTACTTTTTGGAAGAGTATGATTTGAACATGGATTAGTACAACCTATATAACACACACACACACACACAGTGCAAATTCCTGTCATATAACCAACACCAATTATTTATTGAATATTGCAGCACCAGTCATAGGCTCAGGTCAAATGTTGAGACATCATCAAATCATTGGGATTCTTGGGAAGTCCATCATGTTGCCCTGCAGCCTGAATTCATCTGCACCTGTTGCCAACCTAGTGGCCCATGTCTTTTACTATGGAAAATAAAACAACATTTTGTATACTTATTGAGATCAGACAGATGACTTGTATTCTAATAGGATAGATCTGATAGGATAGATTACTTTCCTTTCGAACAAATCTACAAAACCGGTTCTCCAATGTTGATGTACACAAACACAGGAAGCAAGCCACTTCAACACAAGATCTGTTTTATGTTCAGGTGTGTTGCTACTTATCCTCACTGTTTCACTTGGGGAGATGGAGATCTTATTGTATTTGTCATTAGTTAATTGTCAATTGTCAATTGTAATTGTCATTAGGTAATCAACTGTTACCTTAGGGTATGTGGAGTTTCCATAAGGGAGGTTCCAGCATCAGGTGAGTAAGAGAAAGTGAGCCGTTTCAGATGAGGAGGGGAGGGAGGATTTGCTTGTGAGAAGCAAACATATGGCTGATAGGCATTCTCATAGGAGATCACGGACAGGACATGGGGGGGGGGGCAAACATGTCTATTATCAAGAGGAGGGAGAGACATCTCAGTGAAAGACTGTCTGGTAAGGTCAACCTTTATGCTCTCTGTGATCAGTGAGTTGATCAGCATGGTACTGATAGGAATGTGTTTTTTTCATGAAGTATCGTCCATGCAAGCAGATGGCAATGACCTATTTACAAAAGCACAACCTGCTTTGTACTGCATTGCTCATAACACGTTTTCTATAGTGTGACCTGACTAGCACCTTTGTGGTGGTAATAGAGTGTATTAGAAACAGAAAGCTATGGCTTCGCAGACACGAATGTCTCACAGTGAGTCATGCATCACAGAGCAACAGGGCAAAGATGACGACCAAGAAGTTATGGTGAAATACTACCACTAGCGTTGTGTTGAACTTGTTTGTTGGGATTTTGTAATACGGATGTGACGGAATGAATGACCCATGAACCGGATATAGACGTTCTTCTTGTCGAAAGCCTCATTCATTTTTTCAGCATGTGACACAGTATTTAGTAAGCTCCAAACTACTTTTCTGTTTCGTTTTCCATCCCTGATTTCCATCCTGATTTCCATCCGTTTCCTGCAGAGTGCAATGGCAAGCCTGATATTCATTAGTATTTTGTTGTTGTCTGGTAAGTTTTATATTCTCTTTCGTGCCGTTGTGGTTCTGTCCCTCGTGGCTGCCTAATCTGTCCCTGGGCATTTTATCCACACCACCTTTGCTTACAAATACAACACACACCACACCCAAATTTCACGATTCATTGTTTGAATGCAAGTTGCTGCCGCATTAGTATGCCAAGTATTTATATCAGTAGGCTATGATACTACAACACTGTAATTATAATTGATTGGATTATTATAGTGCTTTTCCAGACAATCAAATAGATTTTTAATATAAGAGTGGAAACCCACCTTGGTCGTCCACTTTGGTGATGATACGGCAGACATTTTGTGCCAGAAAGCTCACCATGCTATACCCAGGGCTGGCTATGGGCTCCATTCATTTTGTATTTTCCCTTTATTACACTCTCCAACCCCACCACCCCTTCCCTAATTGGAGTAAACCGGTGAACAACAATGCTTAGGCGTCTACTTCCAGCTTATACATACTATATACATCTAGGCCTCTACTTCTAGCTTATACATACTATATACATTTTATGGACACAGTCAATTTTATAATAATTATATTTAGTTTGTTATTATTTGTTGTTAGTTGTTATTAGTCCCATCCTTCAACTCCATTCAACACCTCCCATCTATCTCTTAACACCATCCATTTTGGATTTCAATTCGCCATATATTTTTCAACTGTACTGTGATGTTTTACAAAAGTTCTGAACCTTTCTATTCTCATTGTTTCTACAGATTGTAAATTGAAAATAATCATTTTTACTAAAAGTATTATTATATTATTGATTGATTGACTATGACTTTTCAGATCACCCAGTAATGCTATCTGCAGGGTTAGCTCCAGGTAAATATTGCAATCCTTTAGCCATTCCTGGACCTGTGTCCAAAAATAAGCTACAAATGGACAGTACCAAAACAAATTATCTAATGATTCTGTCTCTTCGCAGCCAAATCTGCAGAGCTGGGAAGATTGTATCCCCCATATAAATAACCTTCTATTGGTCGCAAGAATTTTATATGATAATTTAAATTGAAAGATTCTACGTTTTTTAATCCGGTGTCATTTTGCGTATCAGTTCATAAACACTATGCCATGGGATCGGTTCGTCTAAAATCTCTTCCCAACTATTTTGCAATCTATATGGGACGGCTGTCAATCCTTTGGTCCTTAAATGACACTGATATACTTCTTTATTTATCACAGTTTTCCTTAACCAATTAAGTTATTTAATGCAGGGCCGACAGACAACAGCCATATGGGCTCGATTCTTAACAAAAGAGTTGAGATGGTGCTGAAGGAGAAGGGCAACATCTTACGAGTTGCAACTCACTCTTTGTGATATGGTGACTTTTATTTGCTGCTGCTACTCTGTTCTTTATTTTACTCTTATTATGATCTATCCTGATGCCTAGTCACTTTACCCTGCCTTCATGTACACATCTACCTCAAATACCTTATTATGATCTATCCTGATGCCTTATCTTAGCTCACTGGTCACCATAGCAACACCCACCCGTAGTCTGCACTCCAGCAGGTATATCTCACTGGTCATTCCCAAAGCCAACACCTCCTTTGGCCGTCATTCCTTCCAGTTCTCTGCTGCCAATGACTGGAACGAACTGCAAAAATCTCTGAAGCTGGAGACTCTTATCTCCCTCACTAACTTTAGGCGTCAGTTGTCAGAGCAGCTTACCGATCACTGCACCTTTACACAGCCCATCTGAAATTAGCCCACCCAGCTACCTCATCCCCATATTGTTATTTATTTAGCTAATTTGCACCCCAGTATCTCTATTTGCACATCATCTTTTGCACATCTATCATTCCAGTGTTAATACGAAATTGTAACTATTTTGCACTATGACCTATTTACTGCCTTACCTCCATAATTTACTACATTCGCACACACTGTATATATATTTTCTGTTGTATTTTTGACTTTATGTTTTGTTTACCCCATATGTAACTCTGTGTTGTTGTTTTTATCGGACTGCTTTGCTTTATCTTGGCCAGGTCGCAGTTGTAAATGTGAACTTGTTCTCAACTGGCTTACCTGGTTAAATATATACAGCACCATGCCATATATTACTGTATGATGATTGATTATTTATAATAATTAAACATGTTCTTATAAAATATGATAACAATAGCTTGTCTGTGATTCCAAATCAGAGCTGGATGTTATGGCTTCCTGACCTCTCACTCACTGTCATCAACCACATCCGTGGGTGGGTAGAGCCGAGAGCAGAGGCAGGTCCTGTGGTGTAGACCCACGTTGGATTAGATTAGATTACCAACACCTTGTTGGTTCTGTGGATCTAGCTGTAGACTAGTTGTAAACTTGTCTGGCAACCTTTTCCTCTCTAACGTCATCCTTGATTGGTGACTTCACACAAATAGTGCTTTAGGAACTTCCATTAGTGAGGCCTGAGAATGTTCTCAGAACTGGGAATGGAGAGGCAGGAAAGTCCCAGGCTTGTACTTGTAGTACGTCAATAATACGGCAGATCCTGTTTTTTTTTTTTAAATCTTCACAAACATGTCATCTCTGTGAGGCCTAGTTTGATACACAGTGAACCTGTCTTTATTAGCCTGGTAAACGTGGAGTTCAGTTTGAACTAACTATTGCCTCTTTGTTTGGAAAGTTATTTCAGTAGTTTCATCAACCTACCCGAAGGAGCAAACCGTCGTTGGAATCATCGGAGAGCCCGTCCTTCTGCCTTGCGGTCACTCCAAATTGTCAACTGGCAACTACCCAACAAAAACCCGAATCTATTGGCAAGATTTAACCCCCAAAGTGCTGCATGTTTTCAAAGATGGAAATGAAGAGTATGACTACCAAGACCCTTTTTACACAAACAGAACAACAATTAACAGAGATCAGTTGGCTTCTGGAAATCTGTCACTCCTGCTCAACCCAGTAAATGTCCCAGACAATCGCCTGACCTGCTGTGTCATTCTAATAATAAATGGTGTAAAATCAGAAGTGTGCCGAATCACTGTCAATGCAGCAGGTAGGCTATGGATTGGAGAGCTATTGTTAAATCAGGCTCATGTTTGGAGGGTGGGACTGGAACACAATGGTTCTTTAGCTCATAATGTAAAAATCACATCCTTGTTCTGGAAACATTCGCATTACCAAAGTAATATGTACCATAAATACCATCAGCACATCTTTCTCATAATCACGCTCGTTCCGGCGTTGTCTCATTGTGCTCCTTACAGCGAGATACCAGAAGCCCAATTTGACAGTAAACTCCACAGACATGACGCTGGTGTGCACCACTTATGGAGGCTTCCCCGAAGCCCAGATGACATGGAGGACCCATAACCGTACTCTGGACCCTCAGGAGGCTGTCACCAAGACCACCCAGGATCCCGGAACGAGAACCTACAACATCAGCAGCCGAGTGAATGGGACAGAGGGACAAAATATGACCTGCAGTGTCCACAACCCCACCCTCAACGAGATCCAGAGTACCTCTATCGTCATACGTAAGTCTGTGAGTTCTACCAAACAGTGAATGTACAGAGACAGTGAGGCCTAATCACTTCAGATGCACTGCTGAATGTCATTACAAAGATTTAAATCAGATTTAGACCAGTAAACGAAACCAATTCTCCTCAACTGGATTAGTTGCAATCCAGGGTGCCCGTTCAAGTGTTTCAGGTCACATGACAAATTCATAAATATCGAAGGTCAGATTGTGATGAAAGCGAGTGCAGCTCAAACCCAATTTGCGCTCAGACATCGCCCTCTAGTGGTTTGATTCAGTAGTAGTCAACTAATTGGAAACCATGATGATTTGGAAACATTTGGTAGCATGGCACATTAAATAATATCCAATATGTTGATTATTTTAAATGAGCTCCATAAATGTCTATGTTTTGTCTTTGTCATCACTCGGATAAACGGTATACAACTAAGAGAAAATGTTGGATCAGGGGTTTCCAGGAGAGATCTAAATCACAGCATTCATGTTTTCTTGTTCACGTACAAAATGGTCTTCACATTGTGTCTTTACAGCCAAAAAGGAAAACCTTTCACTGGGAATTAGCCTGGCAGTTTGTGCGTCCGTCATCATATCGTTGATTGCGGTCACTCTCTGTATAAAATGTGAGTCTCAATCTTTTCCTTTTGAATTGACTTACAGTAGTAGTAGGCTGGCGTCGTGTAACTCAATAAGGATCAAAGGTAGTGGTATGTATTGTAAAAGTGGGCGTACTCTTCTGTTACTGCAGACCTCAACTTCAGGAAGCCACGGAGAAAGATGATCCATTGCTGTCCACAATCTGATCCTGAACACCCTCCACAAGAACCAGGTGAGTCTTATACTGCACAGTACTATAGTGTATCTGTATAACTTACTATAGAGTGTCTGTATAACTTCCTATAGAGTGTCTGTATAACTTCCTATAGCGTGTCCGTATAACTTACTATAGAGTATCTGTATAACTTACTATAGAGTGTCTGTATAACTTCCTATAGAGTGTCTGTATAACTTACTATAGAGTGTCTGTATAACTTCCTATAGCGTGTCCGTATAACTTACTATAGAGTATCTGTATAACTTACTATAGAGTGTCTGTATAACTTACTATAGAGTGTCTGTATAACTTCCTATAGAGTGTCTGTATAACTTACTGTAGTGTATCTGTATAACTTTCCTCTCTCTGATTTGTCGTTTGCAGAAATTGAGGAACTGAATCCACAACAGTAGCGATCAACTCCCAAGCTCCTCCAGTGGTGAGGAAGAGGACCAGTAACTGTGTTGCTGGTGCACATTATTTTGAGCAACCAGCCATGGCTGGACAAAATGAGGACGTTGGTAATGTAGAAATATTGAGAGGCATGCTGATACCAACAATCTTGCATTGAAGCTGATCTGTGATGCTAGTAATCTATGTGCAATAATCCAGCATTTAGGTCCAGGTGTTTATACAAAATATTTTACTTTATCTAAGGACGGATCAAATTGAGAAGCTAAGATGTAGGACTCACTTGAAGAAAATAACAGACAGTTACAGTCAATATCAATTAAAAGACACAAAAGGTGTACTTGGATAGTGAACCTGTAACTCAACCTGAATGTGTTGCGTTTATAATGAAAGTGTTTTTGTCATAATGTGTTTTAGTATTTTCTATGTGTCCCAACAGACACATAGACAATGAATAAAGAAACAATCACACCTCATTCAAACTCAGATAGGTATGGATAGAGATCACAGGAGGCTGGTGGCACCTTAATTAGGGAGGATGGGCTCGTGGTAATGGCTGGAGCGGAATCAGTGGAATGGTATCAAATACATCAAAGACGTGGTTCCCAGGTGTTTGATTCCATTCCATTTGCTATTTTCCAGCCATTGTTATGAGCCGACCTCCCCTCAGCAGCCTCCGCTGACAGAGATTCAGGTACTTTCTGTATCTAACTTGCAGGTCTGTGGATCATCTCGGTAGTGAATGTCTCATTGTATTTTATGACTAAGTGAATGTCATGTCTCATTGTATTTCATGACTGAATGAATGTCACGTCTCATTGTATTTTTTATGACTGAGTGAACGTCATGTCTCATTGTATTTTTATGACTGAGTGAATGTCATGTCTCATTGATGGAATCCGTTACAGTGCCTATAGAAAATCTAGACCCCCCTTGGACTTTTTCACATTTTGTTGCGTTACAAAGCCTGCTAGCTAAAAATAGAGTTACCTGACAATGAAAGATAAACGATTTTAGAATATAACTACAGTATGTAAATTACAGAGCGCGGGTCGCTTGGGGGAGACCCTACGGTAGCCCCAGTTAGATCAGTTCAATCAGGCTACTCAACCGTGTTTTTATTTGTTTTGTCATTTTTTGTTGGGAAGGTTTACAGTAACGATATATTTCAATTCATATATTCAGTTTATATAAAATGTACCCGTGGGCTGCCACTCAAAATAAAAACTAAAGTAAGAAATAGATACAGAGAAATGATCATATTGATCAAAAAGGATTTTGTAATAGTATAATTGGTATGTAAATAAACAAAAAGCGGTGAGCCCCCCAACTCCTCATCCGATTCCCCCCAACCCAACATGTCTCTGTCCAACCCCCCTCACCTGGAAACCATGTTTTCCACCCCTTCCAACCCCTCCTGCAACAGGTTGGCTGTCAGTCCCCCCCTCCCCCCCATATCTCTTTCTGCCCATCCCCCCCACCACTTGTCCTCTAAGCCCCTCCCCCCTCATCTAGCCCCCTAAACATCCAAGGTTGCCCTCCCTACCCCCAGAGAAAACCCTCCCCGTACCACCCCTCTCCCCATGGGCCTGAAAGCAAAGACAGTATCATGCTGAATAGCCACCACTAGACAGCTTACCCCCCCCCCCCCCCCCCCCCCATTGCTACAGTTGTTACTATGGACAGTTGAAATCGGTAGTTTACATACACCTTAGCCAAATACATTTAAACTCAGTTTTTCACAATTCCTGACATTTAATCCTAGTAAACATTCCCTGTCTTAGGTCAGTTAGGATCACCACTTTATTTATAAGAATGTGAAATGTCAGAATAATAGTAGAGAGAATGATTTATTTCAGCTTTGAATTATTTCATCACATTCCCAGTGGGTCAGAAGTTTACATACACTCAATTAGTATTTGGTAGCATTGCCTTTAAATTGTTTAACTTGGGTCAAACGTTTCGGGCAGCCTTCCACAAGCTTCCCACAATAAGTTGGGTGAATTTTGGCCCATTCCTCCTGACAGAGCTGTTGTAACTGAGTCAGGTTTGTAGGCCTCCTTGCTCGCACAAGGAGTTCTGCCCACAAATGTTCTATAGGATAGAGGTCAGGGCTTTGTGATGGCCACTCCAATACCTTGACTTTGTTGTCCTTAAGCTATTTTGCCACAATGCTTGGGGTCAATGCTTGAGATCCATTTGCGACCAAGCTTTAACTTCCTGACTGATGTCTTGAGATGTTGCTTCAATATATCCACATCATTTTCCTTCCTCATGATGCCATCTATTTTGTGAAGTGCACCAGTCCCTCCTGCAGCAAAGCACCCCCACAGCATGATGCTGCCAACCCCGTGCTTCACGGTTGGGATGGTGTTCTTCGGCTTGCAAGCAGCCCCCTTTTTTCTCCAAACATAACGATGGTCATTATGGCCAAACAGTTCTATTTTTGTTTCATCAGACCAGAGGACATTTCTCCAAAAAGTACGATCTTTCTCCCCATGTGCAGTTGCAAACCGTAGTGTTATGATGACTTTCTGGTATCGAGAAGTTCAGGATGCAAGAGAGTAGTCGACCACATATATATGGGGAGTTGATTCAGTCATTATTTAATGGTTACAGTACTGGATTCAATGACAAGCGATACGGACATAGCCTCTTGTCATCTCAATCACTTAGATAGAAAATCTCTCCGTTTATATAATGCTCTCCGAGCTACTTCTGTTGCCAACCATTATTGAGTGTCACTCATCTACTACAATAGGATCCCCATACATGGTATCGTGTGGCACCCTAACCAGGCCATTCCTTCTAAGTTTAGCAACAGTTTCCCCCAATCTATCTTGGCACAACGACCCTCTGTCACTCACCCGTGACATCAATAACACATGTCCTCTCTATATGAGATCAATCAACTTTAATTAATACTGTATGAAAAGTCGTTATATCAAGTAGTCTGGCTTTTTTTATGGCGGTTTTGGAGCAGTGGCTTCTTCCTTGCTGAGATGCCTTTCAGGTTATGTCGATATAGGACTTGTTTTACTGTGGATATAGATACTTTTGTACCTGTTTCCTCCAGCATCTTCACAAGGTCCTTTGCTGTTGTTCTGGGAATGATTTGCACTTTTCGCACCAAAGTACGTTAATCTCTAGGAGACAGAACGCGTCTCCTTCCTGAGCGGTATGACGTCTGCGTGGTCCCATGGTGTTTATATTTGCGTGTTATTGTTTGTACAGATGAACGTGGTACCTTCAGGCGTTTGGAAATTGCTCCCAAGGATGAACCAGACTTGTGGAGGTCTACAAGTTATTTAACTGTAATTTCGTGAGTTATGTTCCAACTTTCCCTGGATCTTGTGCCAACATCAGTTCTTTTTAAGTCTTGGTTCAATAGTTCATATTTTTTTCCAAGAGATTGTCAGTTGGATATGCTCTCTGCAAGGTTTTGTATATCTTCCCTATCATATGAACATCCTTTTCTGACTCAAATAAGATTCCCTCAAGGTTGCTCTGATGTCCAAAAGATTTCAAATCTAAATTTTGTGATATGTAACTTTTAAGCTGCATGCATTTTAAACGATCTACATTGGTCTGTCCAAAAGTGCCTTTTCATTCTGTCATGGAAATACATTTATTTCGTATTACGTTTTTTATGCGTTTAGTTTGCCATGTGGACCAATTTATCTGCGAAATTCTGAAAAGCTATCCAAGGATTGTTCCATAAGATTATGTTTTTAGGGAGTGATTGATTCTTGTAGAATATGTTTTATTTTCTTCCATATTGTTATAGTGTTCTTGGGTAGCCTTGGGTGGCGAGTTGATACAATTCCAAGTCTGGAAGGTTAAAACCACCTTGATTTTATGAATTTTATTTGCCCATATAAAGTCTATTATGACCGCGTATACCTTTTTTTAAAAGAACGTCTTTGGTGGGGTAATTGGTTTACTGCAAATAAACACAAAAACTTTGGCAGCCAGCCAATAAGATTTATAGGAAGATGATTCCATTTAATTAGAGCTGCTTTGATATTGTTGAGTAATGGAATAAAGTTATCTTTATATAATTGCTGTTTGTTGTCACTTATTTAGCATCCTAAGTATTTATTTTGTTGTGGTCCACTTAAAGGATTTCTGTAGATCATGAGTCATTATTTTTATTTGCGCCACTCAGGAGTGAATGCAAGGGAAACCCAGCAAGCATTTGGCCTCCCTTGATAAAAAACAAATAAAATAATAGTCAATCAGCATTGAGCTAAACTGAGTGAGCTCAACTGTGAATGGTCCTGGCGCACCAAAAAGAAGTGTCAAGGGAGGCCAGTTTGGATTTGGCTTCACACCAATCACATCACAGCAAAAGCCAAATGTCATTGACAGAAAAAACTTGAATTGTTGCATCTGGTTGTGTTGTGTCCTCTGGTGGCTAGTAAAAAGTGACCCTTTCCTAAATTAGCCATGGGATGGAGATAGGGATTTGGACTTGTGGTTTTACTTAATTTTCCGTACTGGCCAATGATTATAATGGCGATTCTGATCCTACAATAAATTCATACATTGTGCCTCTGGCCTGAGAAGATGGAAGTTCAGTATGTAACTAGATGTAGTAATGTTAACTAGCTGGCTCATCAAAAGGAAGTTAGGCTAGCGAGCAAGCATCTTAGCCAGGTAGCCTAGGACAACAAAAACTAAAAGCGTGTGCTGTCTATGACAGAGTCATAGACCGTTTCGGCAATGGGATTGCCATTTCTCTAGTAGTCAACATGTTTTTTCTACTTACACAGACACACACACAGAAATCAGTTTCATGGACAGCCACATCATATTTAGCCTACGTTGATTGGACTAAATTGTTTTTCAAATCTTTTAGTGGTCACTGTATTAGACTTAGCAGAGGTGATTTGATGATGTTGAAATGGTGCTGGAATAGTGGAGGCAGCTCCTGTTTTCTTTGCGACTTGCGGTAACTCTCTGTGGTTCTAAATCAATAGTTCTTTAGTTGTCTGAAAAT